TCATTTGATAAATGAAAACCTTGACTTTCTATTGGTTATAGATAATATATATATATAATTAAACGTAACAGAAAACTATTAACAAAGCCTGAAAGAGAGGACGTGACAGGTAGGTGTGGAAGAAGGGGTGTGATTTGCTATTTATAGCTCTGTAAGCAAATAAAATTGAAGGATATAAAAATTATGGTTCGTCTGAGCAGTGACACTTCTGTAGAGAGTAATTTATGTTTAATTTTGTACTTTTTCAAGGGGTGGTGGATAAAATAGAAAAGATGCTCAGAGAAAATATATCATGAGTGTCACATTAGGGGAAATTCAGGATGTTTCTTAATATTGCCTTGTAGAATTACGAATAAAAGTTTTGTACTATTAATATATGGATTATTGTATTATCTACGATTTTATGCTATACTAATTGGTGTAATCCAAACAAAAAGTACTTTAATAAAATTTTGAATATAAGACACTAAAACCTTGTGTCATGCATAGTAAAGGGTTAAAATAGGAGTTTTATTGTGGTTTGGGTGAACTTTTGTTCAGTAGGTGTTTTAAATAAGAACTTGTATTCAGAAATAAACATTCCATGTTTCATACAAATATTTTTCATGTTATGACATACGCTCTGAACATGAGTACTTCATCAAATCATGACATCCAAAATGTGATGCACACATTTAACTAAAGACATGATTAATTTTGTCTGAAATTCAGACAACCTATCTCTAAGGTATATTATGAAGGTTACTCAGGCAGACATGCAACTTCAAATAAACCTACAACCAGAAAACTACTTTATCAAATCCAGGGAACATGGTAAGTTATTAATGAGGAGAGAGCTATCAGCTTACAAGAGTGAAGTGGACTTCACTAGATCAGCTTATCCACATCATCAACTCAAGGACTACTCTTAAGTGATTTCTTATCACACTAGATTGTGCAGTAGGTACCCTTTGGTGAATGACTCCACTCGGCGTGAAGTGGACCTCATCAACTCAAAAGTTTGTCCACATCCACACAGGTGTGGAGCTTATAAAACAGTGTTTATTACAGGTGCATTTTTTAAAATGTTCATATCATTCTCTATATAACTGCATGGTTCTTTGCACAAACTATGCAGCCTATAATATTCTCAGACGGCTGCTTCTGTCATAGCTATATGTGTAGTAAAACTTTACTATCCTTCCCTCTCCTCTACACTCCTAACATATAGTTAGGTATATAGTTAGTTTGGTATAGCTGATTCCCTTCGTGTCATCTGGTGTATCGGATGGTATCAACTTTATACAGTTTAGGTGCTAGAACACACTTAAATACAATAGACATTTATTCTGTAATCACCCTATATGTGTATCTTCTTACCAGTTCTAAAACCATTCATGCCAGTAATATCTAAGCCTTTGTCATAATGACTGCGTTTCCTTGGGTCGGACAAGATACTGTATGCTTCACTGATCTCTTTAAACTTCTTTTCTTGTTCTTGTTGTTCATCTTCCTTAGCATCTGGATGACGGTCTGTGACAAAAATTCAAGCTTATATAAATATCTCAGGCAAAATCCTCACTGATGCCGTCATATATCCTTAAGGAGTAATTTGAAAATGCTAAAATGTAACGTTTGTAGCACACACATTTAACTATTATATCAAATTACAGTGATTTGAAGCAAACAACGTATAAATATATAAATATAAACAATCAAATGCTCTGAAACTTACCAGGATGACAAAGAAGGGCTTGTTTATGATATGCTTTTTTTATATCATCGTATGCAGCATGTTTATTTAGTCCTAGGATTTGGTAGTAATTCTTTCTTTTACTTTTTAAAAGTTCTAATCTGGCACGATCCAAAACTTTTTGATACTCTGCAAAAGAAAATTTTAATGTACAATAATGCTAAACATATAATATTCATTCTTATGAATATGAATGTAAATGCCCTCATTATTTTAGCACGTATCCAGACTACCCAAGAATGTAATGATTAAACAAGTTATATTCTATATTTAGATGATAAAGTCAGGAGTGTGTAATGATTGAACATGTTATATTGTACATTTAGATGATAAAGTCAGGATTGTGTTTTGATTAAACTTGTTCTATTCTATATTTAGATGATAAAGTCAGGAGTGTGTAATGATTGAACTTGTTCTATTCTATATTTAGATGATAAAGTCATGATTGTGTAATGATTGAACTTGTTCTATTCTATATTTTATTCAATCATTACACACTCCTGACTTTATCATTTAAATATAGAATATAACAAGTTCAATCATTATACACTCCTGACTTTATCATCTAAATGTACAATATAACATGTTCAATCATTACACACTCCTGACTTTATCATTTAAATATAGAATATAACAAGTTCAATCATTACACAATCATGACTTTATCATTTAAATATAGAATATAACAAGATCAATCATTACACAATCATGACTTTATCATCTTGTTATATTCTATATTTAAATGATAAAGTCAGGAGTGTGTAATGATTGAACATGTTATATTGTACATTTAGATGATAAAGTCAGGAGTGTATAATGATTGAACATGTTATATTTGATACATACAGGAGCATGTAATGACTGAACACAGTATTTTCGATACAGACAATTAAGCCAGAAACACGACTGTTAAATAACTGAGCTTACTCTACAAGATGAATTATTTTTACATATCAGAAAAGTTATAAATCTGTGTGACACATTTGTGTTAGTTGTCATTACCATCCTCATATCATACAAATATATATATAAATACTTCCAACTGAACATCACTGAAATATATAAAAATTATAATTCCATTAAAATTGGTTAGTGATATAATATTACATATATATACTTCAAGAAGATAACTTTTCAACTGTCTGATTTTTATCAAAACTCTGACCAAATCTGTAATTTTATTTCCACAAATAACTAAGTTATTTCCCAACTGTAAGTTTATTATCACAAAAACACTGACAGTTTGAAAATCCAAAAATGTAAAGGATGGAAGCCATTAAGTTAACCTCCTCAAAATTATATAACAAAATTGTTTGTTTTTAAAACAGAGCTGGATTCTCTCAGTATGTTTTGTTTTAGCACAAAACTGCACAACGGGCTGTCAGAGATATGTCAGATGCAGATATCAAACCTCAAACTCTAGTCTTATAAGCTTACAGTTTAGCCACTAGGAAGACATTTTCCTGATTATTCTCTAAACTACAAAGTTTTATTACAACATTAACAGCTTACCAAGTGTTCTGTTCTTTTGGTACAAAGTTTCATAATCTCTGACTGCTTCTTCATACCTCTGAGTGTCCATGTAGCTGTAAACAGATCAAGATATTTAAACTTTTGTCCACTCTTACAAATTAACAACATATAATAACTTAAATCACACTAAGTTAAAATTCAAATATAACACATCAAATTTATGTCCCTACAAATAGTTCAAAGTGAAGGCCAATTTGTATTTTGAATTTCAGTACTGCTATACTCTTAAAAAGTCTAAAGAAATTATTAAGAATATAACAAATATATTATTGTGTTATATGCTTAAGCGTAAAGAACTTAATAAAACTAAAACTTTATTTCTTATATGTGTTAATGTAAAAAAATTAACTAGCTGGGATAAAACAAAAGCTCCATCACGTGTAACTGTGAAGTACTAAACACAGAATAAAGCAATTTTAATGTTGTTCTATTTACCTGTATGAAAGAATCAGCCAGAATAAAATAAAAACATTAACAAAAATTATCAAGACTTTGGTCCCATTTCTGAAGTAATGTTTTATCATTTTCAGAATTATTCTTATTATAAAAGCTATAATTCTTTATTTTTTATTGCTAAGTCTAAAGATTACACAAGTTATTTTGGACAGCTTGGCTACAACATAAGATCAACGCAAATAGAATATGACTAAACAAGTGACCATTTTCTATATTTAAAACCAATATACTATGAATGCCACTGCAATGAATATCCTGAGAACCTACATTTGAATACAAACAATCCATGATAACTGTAACAACATTTCTTATTTCATAAAACTTACCATTTAGCCCTTCTTAGGTATGCTTTAACATATTCTTTATCTAGATCGATTGCTTTACTGCAGTCTTCAATAGCTTCATTGGTTCTATTCATCTGTTACATTCATTAATATAAAAGCTAATTATTGCAAAAATAAACAAACAATTCATGCAAAGTTATATCAAGTTTACAGTTTCTCCTAACAAAGAACGTTTTTGGAATTTTAAAGTGCTGTTTCAAATATCTTACAGTTCTTTAAATGTTATAAACTAGTAACTTCATTTTATGTTGTAGAAAATTTTGTTAAAGTCTTCTAACACTTTTTAATGTAACAAAACAAGAACATCTATAACCTTTGACGAGTCAATATTACTTCTGTTCTGTCCATATATAATAGTGAATAAAAGTTAGGTAACTCACCAAGAAACAAGTCCTTAAAGTAAACAAACAACATACTCAATGATCTAAGAAAACAGACAACATACTCCAACATTAAACCAATTAAAACTTAATAATCCCACCAAAAAACATACAACATGTTCTTATAGAAAACAAACATACTTCAACATTACACCAAATAAAACTGTAATAATCTCACCAATAAACGAATTCCATGTTTTTTATAGAAAACAGACAAATTATTCCACCATCACACCAAATAAAACTGTAATAATCTCACCAATAAACATATTCCATGATCTTATAGAAAACAGACAACATACTCCAACATTACACCAATTAAAACTTAATAATCACACCAAAAAATATACTACACATTCTTACAGAAAACAACATAGTCCAACATGACACCAAATAAACTGTAATAATCTCACCAATAAACATACTCCATGTCTATACAGAAAACAGACAACATACCCAAACATTACACCAAATAAAAACTGTAATAAATTCACCCACAAAGAAATGCATTCTTATATAAAATACAAAACATACTCACTTTTAAACACACAACAGCTCGGTTAAAATACAGTTTACTATTAGTTTGTACATTGTTGAGATCTATATTTAATGCTTCTGTATAGATTGCATAAGCATCTTTGTAATTCCCCTTTTTAAATGCCCGACTGCCATCTTCCTTCTTGCTTTGCAACTGTTTGGCTTTCTGAAAACCATTAAAGTAAAATATACTAACATGAAAATTTACATAATCAAATATCTAACTCAATAGTGTACTGTTGCATAAATGTAAAGTGTAGTCCGACAGAAAAATGCACTAGAGATACAGAAGCTAGACAAGTTTTTATTTTTAGCATCTTAGATGTCACTGAAACTGCCTGGTAAATTTAACCTCTCCCAGACATTACATATATATGATACAAAGGAAAAAACTATCTCCAGGCTTTTAAACATAAGCAAGTTAAAACATATCATATGAGTAAGAAAAATGCGAGTTTGAAAATACTGTAAAACTTTCTGTCACCAATATAAACCTTATAACCCCAAAATTAATACTACAATGAATGAAATTCTTGCATCAATTTTAATATTTATGAGCAATCGTTCTAAAGTAATTAACCCTATCACCACAGATATCCTTTACTGCTCATGACACATGGTTTTAAGAGTCTTACATTCAAAATCTAATTGAACTGCTTTTTGTTTATGTTATACCAATTACTATAGGATAAAATCCTAGCTAATAATCCATATTTTAATAGTATACAAGTTAAGTTCTAATTTAAAAAAGAAATATTTTTAAAAAATCCTGAATTTCCCCTAGTGTGACACATTTTCTCTAGATATCTTCTCTATTTTATCCACCATCCCTCCGGTAACTACGAAATTAAATGTAAATTACTCACTGTAAAATCTTCATTGCTCAGACAAACCATAATTTTATAGCCTTCAATTTGTGTTTGGTTACAAATCTATGAAATAGAAAAATCATATCCACCTGTTACATCTTCTCTTTCAGGAGATGCTAATAGTTCTCTCTTACATTTAATTATATATTCGCTCTAATCAATAGAAGGTTTTCATCTATCAAATGACATACTGTATTACGTTCTGTTCTGAACAGATAATGGTCAATTTCACTTGTAATACAGGCTCTGTTCCCACTTGAAAGGTCGTGACTAGCTTGGATGAGTTTGTAACAGCTCTTTGTTGCATAGTTAGAAAGCCAGAAAATTTGTGATTGTTAGCGGAAATTGTCTGCTTTATGCACGTTATTATTCTATGCATGTACTACTACTATTACCATTAGCATAAAAAAAAAGTAGGGTGAAGTGTCAGCAATAGTTGACGGCAAAAAAAAATACTCGGGTAGGTATTTTATTTCTTGTTTTTCATTTATTCAGATATTCTTTACTTATTATTATAAAAGTAACTAACATGTAAAAATAGGAATCTCTTTAGGTTAGTTAAGGTTAGATTAGGTACAATAATAATAAAAATACTTCATGAGACATGCACATGAGCAGCTTGTGGTAAGGTAATTGGATAGTGTAAAGTGAGCTGCACATTCCCCAAGTGACTTACAACTTATAATGTTGTGAATAGCAGTTAGATACAGTTCAAAGGGTATAAAACATAAAATTTAA